GCTCTCACAGTTGCACGACGTGGCCCCTACCAACTGAACAGAAACCTACAAAATCCTAGAGGAAGATTTGCTAGATATTTTATTTCCCTCCCAATTTCGTGAAGGGTATTATCGACAAAAACCACCCGAAGTCAGCAAATCTTACCTATGACAAAGTCAACATGGTTAGGTTTTCAATTTTGCTCCTTCCCATGGTTTTCTACCTAATTGTCCCTTAACTCTTCTGCTGCTATTTATTCTGATTATTTTGCAAAATGTTTCTAGAATTTTTTCTGTTAAAATCCTTAGCTCTTTTTCGCTTTGCATTAACAATCCTGATATTTGTTAAGATTTTCTATGAGCAAAATGTTATCATTAATCTATTATAAGATCTTCATGCGGTCCAATTACATACAACAATCCTATAAAAAATTTGGTTTACTCTCATCTTCAGAATCCGGTATACGTGCTTCCCTTAACCGCATTTTCTTTAATGGCACTCTGATTTTAACATGAGATCTATCATCATCTCTTGGATTGGTCCACGACCGTAGCAACAAGAAACCAAATCCTGCATTCGTATTAACATGATCTATCATCTCTATCAAAACATAAGAGGACTGCTTTAACCAAATTTGAATACACAATTAAAGGTGGAGGACACAATAGTAGACAAGCAGAGTAGTTGGCGCTATGTTCCTCGGGTCGTCATCGTTTGCAAATGCTTGTTGAAACATTCTGCTCAACGCCACCTTGACAAACTTAAACCTGTTCTTTTACCAAACCTTCACTGTAGCTATGGCCTTTCCCATTATCTTATCCTCTTGAACTATTATGCAGTCTCTAAGTCCAACATAGCCAGAATCCTCACCTGATGGGCCACAGTAAACTCCCTACCACACAAAACAAATATTAGATCAAATCTTTCTCACATATCTATCATTTTTTTTATTGAATATAACTAATAAGTAACAACACTTACTTCTCCAACAAGATCAATCTGTGGACTGAACACATGCAGTTTTGCTGCCACCGGTTGATCCTTCGACAAGTGCCATGCTTCATTCGTAGTCTTAGCCTCAATCACATCTCCTTTCATGGAAACCAGAGCAGGTTTATACGATGATGGGGGCTTCAACACAGATCCCAAATGTGGCCAGTCTTCTGCTTTTGGTATGCCTTTCTTCAACGCAAACTCAAGGCAGTCTTTGACAGTGAGCTTAAGATCCGTTCCTCCCTGCCTGTTTTTCCTCTTGGGAAGAGCATTGTCCACCAGATACTGAGCTGAGTACTCAGTGTACGCACTGTCCAGCTTATGTGCAAGCCGTGTTGAGCTTATCAGATCAACCGCAACGATAGCCGCAGAGACAGATGAATCTGCAAGACAAAACAGTAAAATGGAAATGAATCAAAATGTGAATGCATTCCCATGTAAAGTCAACTCATTTTCCTCTTACAAGGGATTAGATAAAAATTTGTTGTAAACAAGAGTAGATAGTTTTGTTGGCATCAGTTAAAAGCAAATAAAAAAACAAGTATTCTCTAGAGTGACAAGTTACCGTGCTCTAGGTCTCTGTCGATCTTAATCTCTCCGATTTGTATCGCCATTCGGAAATTGGGATCATAGGGGAGTGCCATCTGCAATTACTTAACACTGTTAGCATATGAAATTGTCAAGGTTCAAAAACAGACAATGGAAAGAACATTACGAATAAACCTGAAGTAAGAGAGATTGGTTCCAAATTAGATGAAAGAAATAGCAAAATCGGAGAGAGAGAACAACAGTAAGAGAACAAGACCTAACTAACAAGGAGAAACCTGAAGCTGGACAGAAACATAAACCATTTCTATCACTGACAAATACAGATCGAGCAGTTTTTGGCTAAAGAAGGATTCGACATGATTCACTCAAGAAAAGGTTAAATCCTGTGACC